AACCTAAGCCAAAACCAGACACTCAACCACTGAGCCACCCAGGTGTCCCCGGCCTGTTGCCTTTAACAGCATGCGCACACACACAAAAAAGAACAAAAAGAAAATGACATATTTGAATCTGAGACTTAAAAGGAGAAAATTTCCTAGTGGATCTGTTGATACCTTCCACAGGGAAGAAAAAACAAAAGAAAGATTCCCACCAGTTCACCAGTTTTCAGAAAGGTTATGGGGATGAATAATCTTGAACCTATAGACAGTCAGTTGGTCCACAAAGACAGACAGGGAACCAGGCAATGATGGAGAAAACACAATGTAGGGAACAAGACAGACACGATTTCATCCTAGAGGAACTTCTTGTCAAGAGGAGAGAGATATGTAAATAAAATGGCAGATGATGATACTGCTACAGAGAAATAATCCAGGCTGCTTCCAGGAACATATTAGAGGCACACCTGACCTGGAGAATGGGGATAGCCTGGACAGCCTCACATTCAACAGTACTGAGTGAGAACAGAGAGCGTGGTTTGTCTGGATTCCTGAGATCCCTCTACTGTCCATCAGTCACTCAAAGCTCAGAGGGAAATTATCAACTGTGGCTTCATAGAAAATACCTGAGCTTGAAGTCAATCCAGTTCTAGGTCCATCATCACAAGTTGCGAGACCTTGAGTTTCCTCATCTCAGTTTCCTTGCTTATAAAATAGAAATAATAAAATATTTCCATAATTCTAAGTGGTTATTAGATGAACATTAATTTAATAAGAAATTTTAAAGGTCAGGGTAAGTAGAGGAAGAAATATCTCTCAATTGTAGGATACTTCCAGATTTCAGCCACATCAATACATAAAAATATGTACATCATAAGGCTGAGGAAATATGGTTGCCCAAGATTGTGAAGATTAAATGAAATTATATGTGAGAATATGCTTCCACATTGTGCCTTGAGCTGAGCATCTGTGTCACGCCCCCCCCCCCCACCCGCTGCCCCAAATTCATGTATTGAAATGTGGTGGTATTAGAAGGCAGGACCTTGGGGAGGTAATTTGGTCATGAAGGTGGAATCCACATGAGTGGGATTAGCACCCTTAGAAGGAAAGCCACCCGGGTGGCTCAGCGGTTTAGCACTGCCTTCAGCCCAGGGCGGGATCCTGGAGACCCGGGATCAATCCCACATCAGGCTCCCTGCATGGAGCCTGCTTTTCCCTGTGCCTTGTGTCTCTGCCTCTCACTGTCTCTCATGAAAAAATAAATAAAATCCTTTGAAAAAAAAAAAAAGAAGGAAAGATGATAGCTTGCTCTCCTCACTCCCCTCTCCCTTCCATGTAAGGATACAAGAGCAGATGATGTCTGCAAACACCAGAACTGCCAGTGCCTTGATCTTAGATCTGCCAACCTTACCTGCTTCACCCTCTGCATGGCCCTGACTTTAAAAATATACAAATGACTTGAAAAAAAAATGGATATGGTATTCAATCCTGGGATCACATTTCTTCATGAGCCCTTTTTATTTAGGCTATATTGTTATTAATAACTAATATATAGAGTCTTTTAGAACCAAAAGGAAATTTCAAGTTCAATGAATTCTATGCTTAAATCTTAGAATACAAAAAACTGAGGGTCAGAGAATAAGAGACTTTTCTACACTTTTCTACATGGCAAAGTTGGGACAGAAAGAGGGCTTTTTATAGATATAAAAGATATGTTTGATAATTGTTACTAATTATGGTTCTATACAGTGAGATATTGGAAATGACTATGTAACCTCAGTTTATACAAAGCAGCTGTAGAATACCAATCCCCCAAGAGAGCAATGCCTTAGCAGTACAAGGCTAAGCTGATTTAGGTTGTGGAATTGAGGTGGTGGGAATGGAGGGCATGTGAGAAAGGCATACGTGCACAATTCTGTTGTATTAGATGAGCTTCCTCTCCAAGGAAAACAAAATCATGCTCAGCCTGAGTGACAGAGTTATTGGAATTATAGGTCCTCTGTACAGGAAAAGATTTACCTACCCCTCCAGCAGTCTTCCCCATGCTGCTAGGCAGTTTACCTTGGTCTAAAAATGACAGAGTGGGTCTCAGGTTTATGGCTGCTTGGTGAAGGAGGGGGCTGTTTACAATAGAACTGTAAGAGGTTATGACTTTCTTTGCCATCACCAGGAGGCTGCGCTGGGCTAGACTGAGGGATGATAATGCTGAAATCACAAGAAATGCATCTTCAAGTGCATTCAATCACAGGCCTGCCTATACTCATGCCAGGCATTCATGACCTGATACTGTAGCAACTTTCTTGAAGGCTTATCAGAGCATTGCAGGCAGGATCCACCTCATTACGGTTTTATCTATAGAAGGCAGATTTCGGTAGGCTTGTCACCATCTCCCACCTGGGGATACTTGATACCTGGTTAAATAATTGTTCTAAGCTCCCTGTAGCTGAAGGGAAGTCAAGTCAGGTCTCTCTTTTTTTTTTTATTTTTATTTACTTATGATAGTCACAGAGAGAGAGAGAGAGAGAGGCAGAGACACAGGCAGAGGGAGAGGCAGGCTCCATGCACCGGGAGCCCGACGTGGGATTCGATCCCGGGTCTCCAGGATCGCGCCCTGGGCCAAAGGCAGGCGCCAAACCGCTGCGCCACCCAGGGATCCCCAAGTCAGGTCTCTTAACCTCTGCGGGGCTCTATTTGGCAGGAGGTGGGCCTGCCTGCTCTTCAACCTTAAGACAAACTGGAGTCAGGCTGCTCAATAGTGGACAAAATGGAACTGAACGGTCATAGGATGTTAAAGCCGGAAGTAGGCTATGCAGTTTGTATTTAGGGTTATTTCATTTAGTTCGCAAACATAATTTGACTCATTTGACAGCCGCGAGATGGGAGACGGAAAGCTTAAGCAACCTGCCCAGGGTGGGGCGACGGCTCAGTAGAGGAGCCTGCAGCCTCAAGTTCGGGCGGCCTTACGGACTACTGTCAGGGGGGCATCGCCCCCCCGTCCCCCGGTGGTCTACCTGCCAGCGACCCCAAGCCGTAGTCAGGGCTGCAGCCTTTTCCTGCTGTAACCCGCCAGCCAGAGCAACCCCCCAGCGGGTGACGAGCAGACGCTGAGACTCCACGCCTGGCTCGGTGGCGCCTGTCTTGTCTTTGTTTGGAGTCCTGGGAAATCTGAGGACGGGGGAGGCGTGACTTCAATATTCATATCGTCTTTAAACAAACGATTTCCTAATTTGTGTCTGTTTCACGCCTGGAGACACCTCCGTAGGCAGAGCCTGCCGCGCTGCGAGCCCTTCCTTCTGCCTATCCGCACCCGCCCCCCCCACCCCCCCCCCCGGCCTCCCCCAACCAACCTTCGCCGGCAGCAGAGACAGAAGAGCGAGCAGAGGAGACAGCCAGCGCCGCGGGTGGGAGGCTGTTCGCGCAGCCTGCGGCTGGCGTGGAGATTTCCCCATTCATAAAACCAACCCCTCTGCTCGCCGACTTCCCACCGGCCCCAAAAGCCCAACCACAGCAGGGTGGGACCGGGCCCCAGGCGCCCTGTTCCAAGGGCCAAGGGGCCTACCCCCGCGCGTCCTCGCTTTTCGCCGGGGAGTCTCGTTCCAGAATCGCCGCCTTGTGCCCTCAGTCGGTCTGTGCGGACCGCCCGCATCCACCGCGGAGGAGAACTCGTGGTTGAAACCGAGAGAGAAAATGGCTTGTGCTTCGATCCATAAATGAAACCTCGCCCTTTGACTTCAGGCTGTCCGACATTTTGTGACTTGGCATTTTTGGCTCTATCGTAGACCTCGGAAGCGACTGTCGAACCATGCTACCTAACCGTTTGCAAACAACTGGCTTTTCAGGTCCCCTTGTGCCCTTGTATGGTGATGGGTGGGAGCGCGGGAGCCGGCAGGGGAGAGGATGGCAGGGGCGGGGCGGGGCGGGGCGGGGCAGGGCGTTGTGCAAATTCAAGATGCGCTCTCCATCCGAATAGTAGATTGTTACTAACAATGATCCTCTCTACCAAACCCTTGAAATTGCCCCTTGACTCGCCAGCAGCCAAGGCAAGCCCTTATTCGCTGAGCTGACGCCTCCCCTGCTCCTCCCGCCCCCCATTACTCTCTGCTCTGGAAATTACAACTCCTCAGCACGCCGCGCGGGGAGGCGGCGGCGGCGGCGGCGGCGGGGGGGGGGCGGGGAGGGGATCCCCGAGCCAGCCGGGCCTCGCCCTCCGCCCGCCGGCTGCAGCGTCGCGCGGCCAAGGTCAGAGGCGCCGCAGGAGCGGCAGCGGCGAACCAAGGAAGCGGGTCAATCCTTGCCGCGGGGGAACAGCCCCAGGGCGCGTTGGGTCGGCGGCAGCGGCCCCCGGGAGGGCGGCAAGCGGAGGTCTCGGAGCGGCCGGGCCCCGCGGAGGCAGTAGCGGGAGCCTGGACCCTGCCCGCGGGGGGCGGCCGCCGCGTCCCCGCCCGCAGCTGGGCTCCGCCTGGAGCCCGGGGCGCTGTCCGCCGCCCGCGGTGCTGAACCCAGTCCCGCGGCCAAGCGGCCCTGCTCACTCTCCGCCTCACCTCCCGGTCGCTCCGATTGGGGCGGGGCAGGGGCAACGGGGAGCCCACGAGCAGCTGCCCACCGGGGCCGACGGGTTGAAGCAGGACAGCTAAGAAACGGCAGCCCGGCCGCTGCTCCTGGTGTGCAGCGGAGACGCGCACTGCAGCCGGCGGCGGCGCTAGTGCTGATTCATCACCTGGAGCGCCTCGCAGGCCATCGCGGGGGCAGCCGACTGGCTCCGGACTCTGGCCGCAGGTGGAGGAGCCTCGCGGGCAGGAGGTGAGGATCCCCTCCCTTCTCTTGCCCCCGGTGGTCCTAGGGCGGTGGCCCCAGGAGAGGAGAGGGGCGTGCCCCGGGGCTGCGAAGTGGGCCTGCCTGTGTAATGCCCTCGCTTGCCGTCTCTCTGGTGCTAACGACGCTCGGTCCCTCCGCCTGCCTCTGGAGCTTGGGCCGTTCCACCTCCCCCCTGAGCAGCTCGGTCTGCCGGTGCAGCGATGGAGGAGGAGCTGAAGTGCCCCGTGTGCGGCTCCCTGTTTCGGGAGCCCATCATCTTGCCCTGTTCCCACAACGTTTGTCTTCCTTGCGCTCGTACGATCGCTGTTCAGACACCGGACGGCGAGCAACACCTGCCCCAGCCGCTCCTGCACTCCCGCGGCTCCGGGCTACCGGCGGCCGCCGCCGCAGCGCCTCCTCTGGACCAAGACCCGGCGGCTGGCCCGGCCTGCAGCGGCGGGAGCGGGGGCGCAGCTGGCGGCCTGGGCGGCGGTGCGGGAGGTGGCGGGGACCACGCGGACAAGCTGAGCTTGTACAGTGAGACGGACAGCGGTTACGGTTCCTACACCCCGAGCCTCAAGTCTCCCAATGGGGTTCGCGTGCTGCCCATGGTGCCCGCACCGCCTGGCTCCTCGGCCGCCGCGGCCCGGGGAGCCGCCTGCTCCTCGCTGTCCTCGTCCTCCTCAAGCTCCATCACGTGCCCGCAGTGCCACCGCAGCGCGTCCCTGGACCACCGAGGCCTGCGCGGCTTCCAGCGCAACCGGCTGCTCGAGGCCATCGTGCAAAGGTACCAGCAGGGCCGCGGGGCCGTGCATGGGGCGTCCGCAGCCGCTGCAGTGGCCATCTGCCAGTTGTGCGACCGCACCCCGCCTGAGCCGGCCGCCACGCTATGCGAGCAATGCGACGTGCTCTACTGTGCTGCCTGCCAGCTCAAATGCCATCCATCCCGGGGACCCTTCGCTAAGCACCGCCTGGTGCAGCCGCCGCCGCCGCCCGCGCCCGCCGAGGCCGCCTCAGCATCCCCAGGCGCGGCCCAGGGCGCCCCCAGCGGAGGCGGTGGCTGCAAGAGCCCGGGGGGCGCAGGGGCCGGAGCTGCTGGGGGCGGCGCTGCCCGCAAGTTCCCTACGTGCCCGGAACACGAAATGGAGAACTACAGCATGTACTGCGTGAGCTGCCGAACCCCGGTGTGCTATCTGTGCCTGGAGGAGGGCCGTCACGGCAAGCACGAGGTGAAGCAGCTGGGATCCATGTGGAAACAGCACAAGGTGAGCGCAGGCTGGGCAGGGCAGGGCGCAGGGACACAGGTGCAGAGAAGCGGGTGCGACAAGGGCCCCCCGGAGAGGTGGCAGAAGGCAGGAATTCCTTCCTTCCTTCCTTCCTTCCTTCCTTCCTTCCTTCCTTCCTTCCTTCCTTCGATAGACGCTGAAATGAATCCAGGGACTCTGAAGTGGGTGTTGGGCATGAGAAGGGCATAGAAAGATGACTTACTCGGTCCCCTTTCCCCTGAGATTGGATGATTTTACACAAAGGGCACCCAGAATGCAAAAGCAGGGCTTTTTCACTCCCAAAGTTGTCTAATAAATTACCCTGAGGGCTTTGCGGGATTTATGGAATCCAGGGCCCCCTTCCTCCCTAGAAAAAAAAATTTTTTAAATGCAAGTGTTCCACCCACCTGCAAGAAAATGTCTGATCCCTCCCTGCACTTGGTTCATCTTCCCTGAAGATAGGAAGGTTCTATCCTAGCACTCGGTGAAAGGACACACTACTTCCTACAGAGCAGAACTCGCCTCTGCTTTCAGAGCAGATTTGCCTACACTCTCAAGGAGTCTCCAGCACTTTCTACCCCCAGAATGCCTCGCAGCCTAGAGGGAAGATATCATTCCTCATGGGCCTTATTTAAGATTTTGGGTGTGTGGCCTTTTAGGAAGGGAGCATCATTCCCTGAGAGATTTTCTCTTGCTGAGACGCTGCCACTCCTGGCAGTGGGAGTGTGGTGGTCCTGCAGATCAAGCCATACTTTTCTCTGCAGGCTGCCGAAAGCCTCCTTCCCCTGTGACTTGCCTGGGGCTGGCACCTCCCAAGTGAAAATGGAACAGCCTCTAAGCGCCAACTCATGGTTGTCAATGTGTCCTCAGTACCTGACACTGGGAGGGAGAATCCTCAAAATGAGGTCACATCCTTTTTCAGGATCCCTGGGCAAGAGTGGAGTAAGTTCTTCTCATGAACATTCACCTTAATTTTCTATCCAAAGGCCAAGCCACACAACCGGACTTGCTGGCACCTGAGGTCAGTGATTGTGGCCTGACCAAGTTAGAGTCCCTTATTCTATGACCCCAACTACATCAGCAAATTTGGACACTTATCATTCAATATCCTCTTTCTCATAAACTCTCACTCCACAAATAGACAGAAGGTCTCCAAATGGCCCAACAGGAACTATGTATTCTGCTTGAGGAGGAAAGACATGGGAAAATAAGGAATTTGCCATGGTTACATTGAATCATCCGACTGGAAATGGACAAAAAGGGTGGCATAGATGAGAGAAGGGACTAACCATTCCTATTATAGATTTGTTGTATTTAGTTACTATATAATTTCATCTGCTACAATGTGTGTGCTATTATTGTAATTCAACATTTTCAAATCAGAAAAAGAAATGGGGGAAAACATTAGAAATCTACCTTGGAGTAGGAAATTTGCAGAAGAGACATCATTTCACAAATAAAGATATCTTTTGCAAAGAAGCTGTGATCAGCACCAAGACAAGAAGCATAGGTTCACATTCAGATTTCACAAGCTGTTACTTTTTCACAGCCTAGAGGGCCAGAATTAATTCTAGGTGTTGCCACCCAAATCTTTAGATTTAGTGAAGAGTGGAAACCAGCATGATTTGAGATGAGTGTGCACTCTTAGAAGAGACTAAGACTCTTACCAGGAAAAGTTAAGTTGGATAATGAGCTATGATTTAAAGAACCAAGACTATGCAGGAAAAAATCATTGGTCATCCTTCCTTTGGTATCCACAGCACCTTTAGAACATTTCTATCCCGGGATCCCTGGGTGGCGCAGCGGTTTGGCGCCTGCCTTTGGCCCAGGGCGCAATCCTGGAGGCCCGGGATCGAGTCCCACATCAGGCTCCCGGTGCATGGAGCCTGCTTCTCCCTCTGCCTATGTCTCGTCCTCTCTCTCTCTCTCTCTCTGTGACTATCATAAATTAAAAAAAAAAAGTTTCTATCCCCAACCAACAATGGAAAGTTTTTAGGAAATATGGAAAGCACATGTGATATTTGCTCAACAGAGTGGGAAAGTTATCTGTGGGAAATAGGACAATGGAGAATCTAGTGTCTCGATTTTATACGTAATGCCACAGCTTCAGGAAACTAAGACATCATCCCAAATCCAGAAGGAATGTTGTGAGATACTTTTTGAGAATGAATAGAAGTTCTTCTGTTACCTTTCAGCAGGGCCTATTTTTCTACAGAGAGGACAATTGAGTGCTTATTATGAGCAGCCCAACCAGGGGCTAGGGAGCACTGCTGGAGGTGTTTGGTCTGAATTTGTGGGCAGATGTCTAGACATCCACTGTGAGGGTGGCTAGTTTTTTTGTTTGTTTTTTTGAGGGTGGCTAGTTTTGAAAGAGAAACTGGAACACTCAATTTCACACTCCCACCAGGGCAGTTTAAGCTCTTCCATAAAACTTAAAGTTTCCATTGTTTCTGCCATTCAAAAATCCCAGCAGCCATGACAAAGCCTTGTGGTACTACCAGAACTAGATTTGGGACATAAACATTTCCCTAACACTCCTGTGACTGCAGAAGCCTTCATTAAAGCCCTGCTCTAATTCTTCCCAAGTGTGGCTGGAGCTTGCCATCTAATTACTGATTCTTTAGCAAAGAGACATCAGTGTGACACTGAAATCTATTTTAAAACAAGATTATCACCTTTTGAAAACAGTGTAAAACCTTTAGGTTTGGGCCAAACACATTTTTCCGTATTTAATTTCTTATTGAAGTATAACTGACATATGATATTCTGTTAGCTTCATATGTACAACATAGTGATTCAACATTTATATACATTGTGAACTGACCTGTGACCACAGTACATCTAATTACCATCTACCCCCATACAAAGTTAATACAATACTATTGACTGTTTTCCCGTGTGCTGTACATTATATCCCCATGACTTAGTTATTTTACAACAGAAGGTTTGTATCTCTTGATCCCCTTCACACACCCCCAAGCTCCTTGCCGTCTGGCAACCACCCCTCTGTTCTTTATATGTATGAGTCTGGGTTTTCCTTTGTTTATTTGTTTGTTTTGTTTTTTAGATTCCACTTATAAGTGAAATCATGTGATATTTGTCTTTCTCTGTCTGACTTATTTCACTTAGCATAATACCCTCAGCTCCATCCATGTTGTCACAAAGTGGCAAGAGCCCATTCTTTTTCATGGCTGAGTAATATTCCTCTCTCTGTGTGTGTGTGTGTGTGTGTGTGTGTGTGTGTGTGTGTGTGTACCACATCTTTATCCATTCATCTATTGATGAACACTTAGGTTGTTTCCATATGTTAGTTATTGTAACACATTTTTATATTATTCTTTTGGAAATGGATTAATCATTTCAAAGAACTTCTGATGTGAAGAAATAATGTGTTGTAAAAGATAGAACACAGAAGGACAGCTTTTGTCTTTTTGCCTATTGATTATGGAATTCCAATTTTCCTGAAGCCAGAGGAAGAGGATCATTGTGAGCTGTATCTCTTCCCTAGAATGACATGTCACAGAATGTCAATCAGTTTGTCCATAACCCTTGCTGGGTGCAAATGCTCAACCCTGAATTAAAACGGTTAGAAATTGATTCCTGAACTAGGTATAAAATGCTGGATAAATCCTTTTTTAGAAATCTTTGGAAAACTCTGGAAGATAAGAGAGTATTAAAGCAAAACTCTCATTGATACCCTAGGATTACTGTTCTTAATGAGTCATCACTTCACAAGAGCAAAGGAGGTGATGCAGCCTAGAAATCTCAGGGAAAACAGGGCTTCAGATTACTCTCCTGTCTTGAAGTTCTGCCAAAGGGCACTTGGCTTCTTAGCACATTATTCCTATCTTGTTTTAGAAAAGCAATAAGGAAAGGCTTTTAGCCTTTAAAGCCTCAGAAGAAAGACTCCTCCATTAAAAGAAATAACATATAAATAAGAAAGGCAGAATCTGTAATCAAATCATAGCTAAACTATGATCTCAAGTACACTTATTTGAATATTGGTAGTACTTTATAGCACAGGTAATAAATGCTTGTTAAGAATTAGAATTACATGGGATGGCTGTGTGGCTCAGCGGTTAAGCATCTGCCTTCAGCTCAGGGCATGATCCTGGAGTCACGGGATCGAGTCCCACATTGGGCTCCCTGCATGGTGCCTGCTTCTCCCTCTGCCTATGTCTCTGTGTCTCTCATGAATAAATAAATAAAATCTTTAAAAAAAGAATTAGAATTACAAATGTAGAAATGTAAAAATTAAATATCTCCAAATTCTAATTTGGAGAGGAAAAAAATCTCTAATGTTTTAGGGTTTTCTTGTAGACTTCTATCATACGTTTATTTCGTGTTTTTTTCTTTAATAATACAATATAAATATTTTTCTGTCAGCTAATGTATGTCATTTGTGATGACTGCATGCCATTCTTTCATATGAATTTAATATTTTTTTTGATTAACACCTCAGTGCTGGATTTTAGGTTGTTTTGAGTCTTTTGTTGTTACAGACATCTTTCTAGTTAAATCAATGCCTATACTCTTTTTTTTTAAAGATTCTAAAAATTTATTTATTCTGAGAGACACAGAGAAAGAGAGGCAGAGACACAGGCAGAGGGAGAAGCAGGCTCTGAGCAGGGAGCCCGACGTGGGACACAATCCCGGGTCGCCAGGATCAGGCCCTGGGCTGAAGGTGGCACTAAACTGCTGAGCCACCCGGGCTGCCCCTCAATGCCTATACTCTTATTATTTCCTTAGGTTAAATTTCTAAATATGGAGATGCTATGTGAAAAGATATTTGGCCTTAAGATATTTGTTTAATGTTGCCAAATTGCCTTTCATAAAGTTTATGCCTATTTTCTTCCAAAAGAAAAATTATGTAAATAATAAAATATTCGTGTAGACAGGACCATGGGGGATGAAAATAAGGTGGATTATCTTGTTTCTAGTAATTACTGTTTGCTATTTTCATTACGTTATTGTTAGAGCTGTTTTTTTTTAGAGCTGTT